CAGCCCTCCCCCCAACTCCCATACTCAATCTCCACACCATTGTCAACGGGTCATTCATGTATGTTCTTTGACTAATTCCTTCACCTTCTTTCAACTAGTCCTCACCTTTCCTCTTACAGCTTCTTACAGCTGTCAGTCTGTTCCATGTTTCTATGCCTCCAGTTCTATTCTGTTCATTAGCCTATTTTGTTCATTAGATTCCATTTATAAGTGAGATCATATGGCATTTGCCTTTCACCAACTGGCTTATTTCACTTAGCATAATAGTCTCCAGTTCCACCCGTGCTGTCACAAAAAGTTAAGAATTCCTTCTTTTTTTTTATCGCTGTGTAGTGTCCCATTGTGTAAATGAACCACAGTTCTTGGACCCATTCATGTACTGATGGGTAGTTAGGTTGTTTCCAAATCTTGGCTATTGTAAATGGCACTGCTATGAGCATGGGGGTGCATAGGTTCTTTTGAATTGGTGATTCAGTTTTCTTAGGGTGTATTCCCAGCAGTGGAACCACTGGGTCAAAAGGTAGTTCCATTTTTAATTTTTTGAGGAAATTCCATACTGTTTTCCACAGTGGCTGACCAGTCTGAATTTCCATCAACAGTGCACTCAGGCACTTCTATATGATTAAGATTTGGACATGTTTTCTAGTAACACTTCTACAGGACATCTTTTTTTTTGTGGGTGGTCTTTTCATGCAAGCATCCTTTTGTTGAAAAATGGGTCAGTGTTAGGAGAGGGTGAGGGACTGGACTAGGGTCCAAACTGAGGGATGCTTAAAGAGGCTGAGTCCAGCAGGGTTCTGCCTGCGTAGTGCTACTGTACTCTGAGGGACCACCTCCAGATCTGGGGGATCAGAGAAGGCCTCCTGAAGGAGGTAACACTTGAGTTGGGTATAAAGCAGGGGAAAACCAGGAGGGAGACCAGATCCTTGCATATGGGTCCAGACTGAAGCCAACTCTGGGGATACAGTTGGAGCAGAAACTGTTGGGTGACTTCCAAGTCATCATGGGATCCTGAGGACTTGTTTCCTCTCCCTGTTGTAGCCCTGGGAGCTCTGCTGTCAAGAGGTGAAATGAAATCACAAGGTTTGACCTGGAGGGAGTAGGCCACAATGTGGGGGCGATGACTGGCTCTTTGTCAGGTAGGGGTGGCACTCCCAACCTGAGTGGGACTCCCAGGGCCACTGAGTTTTCCTTACCCCACTCCAAATTTCTGCCAAAGGAGGACCATTCAAAACAAAGCTAAAGAACTTATGACACATGGACATGAACTAAAGGGGAGGGAATTTGAGGGGAGGGGGTGAGCAGGGTGGAGGGGAATGGGACAACTGTAATGGCATAATCAATAAAATATATTTTAAAAAACCCAAAAAACAAAGGGTAATTCAGCTAGAGGGAAGGAAGTCAGGGAGGTAGAAGGGATGGCCCCTCTAGCTGTCAGAGGTCTTCACCTTCCCCTGTGTCACCTACCCACTCAGTAGCAGAAAGGTATGCCATTTCCTCCTCTGATCCTGCCTCCCCTCAAAGTCCTCCTGAGCTTCCACTGGTGACTCCATTTCTCCTTCTCTCACTTACTACCACTTTCTGTGTGTGCTACTCTACTCTCTGGTAGGATTTTTCTAAATCCCACATCTAAATCACTAATGTTTACACAGGTCCAAGTTTCATGGTGTTGGAAAACCCTGCTGTCCTTGTTACAATTATTTTACCAAAAGTCCTTTGAAAACTCCAGAGGAGGAAAAATCAATGTGTCAAAAGGCACTGCAGTTTGATCGCATTGTTCCATCATTTGAGGCTCTTTCTCAAGTCTCCTGTACTGAAAACTTACCTGCATCCAGAGAAACTAAAAATTCTACCCTGAAAACAGTAAGCCTTCTTTCTGTTATGAGGTTGTGGCAGTTAGAACCAAGAAAGTGGAAGTGGCCTTTCCAGTCAACTACATGACCCTTAGCTCACTTAGCAACCAACTATCTGTGAACTGGAAACCTCATTAGGATTCCAAGTTGCCATGAGTTTATGGTAAGAATGCCTAACAGGTCAAACCAGCTCTTTTCTGACTTGAGGAAACTGAGTTTTAAAGATGATATGTAGCTTGCTTAGTTTGCAAACACAGCTACTAATGATTTCTTTTTAAATATGAGAATTGCTCTCACCTCCCAGGGAAATGTTCCTGAAAATATATTCCTCTAGAGACACATTCCTCTAGAACCTCTCAACCTATAGCCATTCTGGGCTATGCGGCAATTATGGTGTTTCTTCCTTCCAAGATCACTCTGAAAATTCATATAGATTGACTCTCTTTGACCTCCTAAAATCACTGACATCCATTTTAGGAAGGCACCTACAAGATGCCACTCTTGGGCCTGAGAAAACTGAATCCAAATCCTGAGGTTTAGAAACATGGTGCATAACTGTCCTGGGAAGATTAAATGTATCATTAAACATTCTCAATGATAAGCAGAAATATTCTCGGGATTGGACAGGGAGGGCAACAAGTCCTGGAAGTAGCAGTTTTATTACCGGGGAGAAATTTGCCTGTTCCTCAGTTCTCATCTCTCACAAGAGACAAATTCAAGTGAGAGATACATATAGTGGAAATGGGATAGCAAGTTTATTTATGAAATACATAGAAACACAAAACTGCAAGCAGGCATCTGGCTAGTCTGAATGCCCCACATGTAGAGAAAATAAAGTTATTAAGTTTGTTTCATACGCTTTAGCCAAGGCTAAAAGTGGGCACTCAGCTAATGAGTGCACCAACTATTGGGATTCAGGGGTCATGTGTCTTAGTCAGCTTCTAGATCCCCCTTCCTTCTTCCCCTTTTAAACCTTGGGAATAATATACAGCCACAAAGCCTTTCTTTCTCAGCTAAGTAAAGGTTCTTTGTCTTAGTGAAATTGCTACACAGGATCTCTTTCCCAGCACAGTCTCAAGGACTCCCCTCCTCCTGCGCTATCCCTGCTTGTGACATTCGGAACTCCTGGCAATCTTATCCAACCAGGCTCAGGACTGCTGATTCAACGGGCATGTCTCCCTCCTCCTCCCCGACTTAGTTTACTCCCTATCATATCTAACAGTTTCGTGGGGGTTGTGTCCTTGGATTTGTTAAAAGGAAAAATCTGAGCTATGAATTCCTGGAGGTTACCAACTGTTTTACTCTGCATCTATCACAGCACAATGTAGCACAGTAGTACAGTTAAAGGATCCGGGTACATTTGTTGATTGCATGCTTAGGTATATGACCTGCTTAGCAGGGATAATCCAGTTAACTGAGCAATAAGTTTGAGAGAGTTTCAAAAGAAAGAAATGTTCCTTTCTGCTATACTTTTAAGTATCAGGCATTATGCTATAGGCTAATTATAAGGTGGGGACTGAAAAAGAGAGATGTAAAAGATAAAGTTTGTCATAAAGATCCTTTAGTTTATACATAGCGATTTAGTGTTCATAACCAATTAGGATTATTATTTCCATTTTTGTTTAGCAAATGATACAACTAAGGCTCAGAGAGGCTTAGTGTTTTATCTGAGCTCACACAGCTAGCAAGTTCCCGGGTCTCTCCTGAAGTCCTTGCTTATTCTTCCTTTCCTCACATTCCAGAATAACATTCCTCTCTCCACTTAACTCCTAGATATTCGACTCTGATGGGTCCCTGAGGGATTCCTGCCAGGCAGTTGCTATCTCTGCACCCTTCCCTCCTCCCCACCCCACCCCCCGGAAAGAATCTTTTTTTCTGCGGAGCGCCGGCCTGTAGCCAGGTGAGGCCAGAACCTCCATTTCAGAAGCTTCCTCTAGAATCCGTCGCTGTGGTTACTTCCAGTAGAATGTTTCAGGAAGAGGTTTGTCTGCGCGGGACAGCAGCGCCATTCATCACTACAGGAGGGCAGAATCCGGGGCTGGGGGCCGCACGTTGAGAGGGGAGGGGCCAGGGGGCGGCCCCCTTGTGACCAGCCCTGAGGAGAGGTCAGGAGAGAAGGCTGGCTGGCTGAGGAGCGCCTGGACAGCAGCAGCTGGTGACGCTGTGAATCACGCGCCTGGGGCCCAAGGTAACCCAGACCTTTAAACGAACAGTGGGGCTGGGGGCTCTGCGGGGGCGGGAGCGGGAAGGGACAGGGATTTTATGAAGATTAAACACTGAAGATGGGGGCGGCGAACGAGTGAAAGGCGTGTGAAGGATTCCGAATTCTCGGAGGAGTCACAGGGAATGAGGGTGCTGAAGCAAGAAGCGAGGTGTGAGAGGGAACACAAGCGCGAAGGAGCGTGAGAGGGCGCAAGAGTGTGGCTGACCAAAAGACCTCTTGGAGGTGGGGGTAGAAGGTGGAACACAGCCCCAGAAGCATAGGTAAGGTGGGAGCAGGGTGCCATTTTCTTTCCCGAGTCCATTTTCCATAGGTGGCCCCCTTTCAGCCATTTGTAAGGTAAAATATTGACCCAAGTGTGTTTTAGGATATAAGGAATTAACGTCAGAGGAAGCTGTACCAAAGTGAGGCTGCTAAAGGCTCAGGAAAGGCAGTCAGAGGGTGGCGCCTTTTTTAAAGATTCCATCTCTTTGCACCCTAAAGCTCAGGCCGTACCCCCGCCTCCACCTTTTCCACCCTCCTTCGGTCCCCCCATCCCGCCACTCCGCACCATCCCCCTCCACCCCGGGCACCGTCCCATCGCCTTTAAAGCAGGTAACCGCCTCCATCTGTCCTCACACTAGCTTGGGAACCTCTGAATAGAGAGGGTGGAGTCTGCCGCGTCCGCGGCTGAGCTTAAGGGCTCGTGGGAGGGTCCCAGGGCGCTAATGGCCCTCCGTGGCTATGAAGCTAGCCAGATCATTCACCGCAATCCCGTCTCATTCCATCTACAGTTGCAGCTCGATTCCAGACGCCTTTCTCTGCCTGGCGGTGAGCTGATGGCCCAAATTCGAGAAGCTTCCTTGCCCTCCGCCTCTTTGGTCTGCTGGAGCTCGTGAGGTGGGGGAGGAGCCTTGCCAGAGGAGGCGACTGAGAAGGCGGGGGAGATGGAGGACGAGGAGGCAGCGGAGGGGGCGGCGAAGGCTCCTGCAGGCCAGGAAACTGAGGAGATGAAGCTGGAGCCATCACAAGAGCGTAAGCCTGTGCCAGAGGAGAACTTGACGTGGAGCAGCAACTGCGGAGATAAGAAGGTGCTCCCTTCAACGCCCCCTCGCTGGCAGAGCAGCTCCTTGTCCCTTTGCCCACGCCGCAAGCCCCGCCCTCGGCCCCAGCTCCGTGCCCGCTCCCGAGGCCCGCCCGGGCCTTCAGCCCCACCCCCGACCCCTCCCCATCTTCCCCCACTACCGCTGCGGCTCCGGCCCTGGCGCAGACCTCTGCGTAGATCCCGGCAGGCGCCCAGGCCCCCAGCGCGGCAAAGCTGTTTTGGTGACATAGGCAGTTCTGGGGATCGAAGTGGCTTTGGGGACTGGCTGCTGGAGGTGGAGTTTGATCAGGGTCCAGCAGGCTGCTGTCATGTGGAGAGTTTTAAAGTAGTGAAGAACTGGCAGAAGAACCTTCGACTCATCTACCAGCGTTTCGTCTGGAGTGGGACCCCAGAGACTAGGAAGCGTAAGGCAAAGTCGTGCATCTGTCATGTATGTAGTACCCATATGAACAGACTCCACTCTTGTCTCTCCTGTGTCTTTTTTGGCTGCTTTACTGAAAAGCATATTCATAAACATGCAGAAACAAAACAGCACAATTTAGCTGTAGACCTCTATCATGGGGTTATATATTGCTTTATGTGTAAGGATTATGTATATGACAAAGATATAGAACAGATTGCCAAAGAAACAAAAGAGAAAATTTTGAACTTATTAATTTCCACCTCAACAGATGTTTCTCAACAACAGTGTATGGAATCAGGTGTTGAAGAGAAGCAATCAACCTGTGAGTTAAAGGATCAGGAGCCAAAATTGGTGAAGCCCAAGAAAAAGAGGAGAAAAAAGTCAGTCTATACTGTAGGCCTGAGAGGGCTAATCAATCTTGGGAACACCTGCTTTATGAATTGCATTGTCCAGGCACTTACCCATATTCCTCTACTGAAAGATTTCTTTCTCTCTGACAAGCACAAATGTATAATGACAAGCCCCAGCTTGTGTCTTGTTTGTGAAATGTCTTCGCTTTTTCATGCAATGTACTCTGGGAGCCGAACTCCTCACATTCCCTATAAGTTACTGCACTTGATATGGATCCATGCAGAACACTTAGCAGGGTACAGGCAGCAGGATGCCCATGAGTTCCTTATTGCAATATTAGATGTGCTGCATAGACATAGCAAAGATGATAGTGTTGGGCAGGAAGCCGGTAACCCCAACTGCTGTAACTGCATTATAGATCAAATTTTTACAGGTGGCTTGCAGTCAGATGTCACATGTCAAGCTTGCCATAGCGTCTCCACCACAATAGATCCATGCTGGGACATTAGTTTGGACTTGCCTGGCTCTTGTGCCACATTCAGTTCCCAGAGTCCAGAGAGAGCTGACAGCACAGTGAGTAGGAATGACCACATACCAGGAATCCCCTCACTCACTGATTGTCTACAGTGGTTTACAAGGCCAGAACACCTAGGAAGCGGTGCCAAAATCAAATGTAGTAGTTGCCAAAGCTACCAAGAATCTACCAAACAGCTCACAATGAAGAAGTTACCCATTGTGGCCTGTTTTCACCTAAAGCGGTTTGAACATTTAGGCAAACAAAGACGAAAGATTAATACTTTTATCTCTTTTCCCTTGGAGCTGGACATGACTCCATTTTTGTCCTCCACTAAAGAGAGCAGAATGAAAGATGGCCAACCACCAACAGATTGTGTGCCCAATGAGAATAAGTATTCCTTATTTGCAGTGATTAATCACCATGGAACTTTGGAAAGTGGACACTATACCAGCTTTATCCGGCAACAAAAGGACCAGTGGTTCAGCTGTGATGATGCAGTCATCACCAAGGCTACCATTGAGGACTTACTCTACAGTGAAGGATATTTACTGTTCTATCACAAACAGGGTCTAGAGAAAGACTAGTCTTATCAGACCACTTACCAGAACAAAGAAAGAGAAATAAATAGGCAAGGATCCTGCCGTGAAACAAACCTGCCTACCTATACAACAGTGAGCACCTCTTGAAATATCACAAAAACCTCCTGAAATGGACAATGACAACAGCACCTATATTACAATTGGTACCTTGATATAAAGAACATTTTACCATGGCCTGTGGGAAAAATGAATACTAGCTAGTGACCAGCCTTAAATGGGAGGAGGGAGGAGGGAGGAACGGTTGAAAATGGTCACATATAGCATAATTAAAATGTTTTAGGTGGGGAAATTGTGAATAGAGATGTTTTGGCGCTACTATGTCATTTGTTCTACAAAACTATTGTGATATTGTGGGAAATTGGGGTATTCGTCAGCAAAAAGCTTCACAATTGGTGTTCCAGCTGTTGCTGACCTACTAGTTTAGGAAAAAAAGATAGTATTTTGAAAGAAAATTTTAAAAGCTTTAAAAGGAAAACTTTTAACACATTTTTTATTTTAAAACAATGTTTTTAAATGTTGAAAAATTTTAAGTTAGATATTTTTAAATGTTATACAATTGAAGTTTTTTAAATTTAAAACTTCAAAATTATTAAAATAAGACTTAGAACATTTTAGAAATTCTTAGTTCTAAAAAGGTAAAATGAATAAAACAAGGAAAAAGATTAAAAATGAAAGTTTACTAAATATTAGAGAAATTCACCTTTAAAATTCAAAAGTTATAAAAGAAGGAAACTTAAAAGTTTAAATGAAATAAAATGTTAATATAAATAAATACTAAAATTAGAGCACAAAATATGTTGAAAATCATAGGTTAGCAAAATTCATGAAAGTTTATTAAGAAATAAATTTTCAAATAATAAGAATGGAATAAAAATTTAAATTTAAGTTTAGAGAAAAGTTTTAAAAGGGATGTTTAAAACAATTCAAGACAAAAATACAAAATTTATTAAAAAATTTAAAATGTAAAAATCTAAAAAGGATTATTAGAGAACAGAGGATTTAAAAATATATAAAGAACTTTAGACAATTTGAGAGATTTAAATAAAAACCTTAATATTTAAAAAGGATAAAAAATTAAAACCATTAAAAATAACAAATAAAATCAAATGGAAAAGTTAAATATATTTAAATAGAAAAATGCTAAAATTAAAAAGCTTAAAAGTGTTTTTTTAACTTAAGCATATGAAAATACGGGTATGAAAGAAGTAAGTGGAGGAGACAGGAATAATAAGACAAAGGTGTTTGTAAATATATATTTTTGAGTTTTATGTTACACATAAACAGAATTTTGTAAAAAAATGGACATTATAGTAACCATCTTTTTACAATTAAGTTGTGAGTTCACTGCAAGGCCTCAACCCTAGCCCGCCTTCCTCTTCTACGTTCCACACCCCATCTGATTTCCTGAAGGAAGTAGAGCTATTTCTTAGGCAGAATCAACAGCATCTGAGAAAGATGAATATAGTAGGGACTCTCTCCCCTTTAGAATTACAGTCGTACAAATTATTCCCTTCTGAAGAGGGGCTTTTGACAATTTAATGGCTTAGGGATATTAGATTACAACTGTGAAGCTCTAGCCTTGGTGTTTGAGCCCGGTGGCCTGATTGAGGAAGTAGCAGGGTTCCTTATTTTAGGACCTCCTACCCTGCTTTCCCTCTTCCCTCTCCATGGAGAAACAAGACCTTTAAGTTTCCACAGTAGAGCTATGGGTTTGTGCTTGACTATTCTACTTACTCCTTACTTTCTCTTCCCTCTTATTCCATCATTCATGTCTGGTTCCCTGAACCCCTCATTTACCTGACGTTATCTACATCTCTTGAGTCCCAGCCTGTAGGACTCCTTCACTGTTTACTTGGCGGCTTCTATTCCTCCTTCAAGATTCAACTCACAAGTGACTTCTCTGGAGTCTTCCCTGAATTCTGTAAGCAGGTATTAATTGGAAAATTGTTTCTCCCTTACCTGTGTAATCCCTCTCACAGTGCCTCCAAAGTACTTTGTCTGTGAGTACCTCAGTGATAGTACTTATTCTACTGTGATTCTACTGCAGCTTTGTGATTGTCTGCCCCTTTGCACCAAGCATTCTGAGAACTGGGGCCAAGCCTTATTCATTTCTGTGTTAATAAATTGTTGTTGAATATGGAGATGAGTTCAGTTATTTCTGCTATTCACACTCAGTACTGTGTTCTCACCCATTCATCTATCACGCCCTCATTAAGTGCCCAGTGCTCTAATACAGTGTGATCAGTGTTGTATTTTCCTCAAAGACAGTGTGTCAAATACTACTCAGCTTCAGGGAGTGGCTTAAGAGAGGAGGTACTCAGTGAGGAAATAACCATGTTGTATGTTGAGAGTCTCAGGTACAGTGCAAGGAAAAGAGCACAGGCCTAAGAATTGGTAGTCGTGAGAGATTGGGAGGGGAAAGGGAGAAGCAGCTGAAACACAAAGCCGGGTTCTTTGGTGCATGTGTCACAACACTGCCCCTCACCAGTGTCTTGTAACTGTGTACCACATCTCTCTTCATGGTGTACCATGTTTGTTTATCTTCCCAGGAGAACATACCTAACCATTTCACATTGTTTTATAGCACACAGCACAGCATGACTCTGTGTAACAGAAAAGTGATGTGTGGCAGCTGTGTTTTGAGGAGACCTGTAATTTGCTTAGCACTGTAGTCCTTTGTAGTTTCAGTGGGTTTAGCAGTCACTTTGCCTTGCTCCTCACACCCCTCCTAAGAGTTGAGCATATCACTGGTACTAGGCCAGATTAGAGTTCTCAATTCCTCCACTTCTCCACCCACATTTCCCACAAGAGTGATTCTTCTGAGGATGGCCATAGGACCCAACAGGGTCCTGTGCAATCAGAGTTCACTGCTAAATTGGATATGTATAGACACTGGGAGAAAGTAGAATTTTGCTCCTTACCTCTGCTCCCCACTCCACACCCCATACTGGAGTCTCTAGGCTAGGATGGCATGAATTTGGGACTCTGAGGGGTCGACATCCAAACCACAAGGAGAAAAGTAGAGTTGGATGGGGAGAAAGTCTGGAGAGCATCATTTGAACCTCGTGGATCTAGCTGTTCCTGAAACCCCAGAGTTCTCAGTTATGTGAGCCAATAAAGCCCTTTGTTTTGCTTAAGTTAGAGGCGGGATCCTGTCACTTGCAGCCAAGGATTTTGAACATACTAGCTAAGCTATATGGTTATTTGGGTGCATCCTGTTTTTAAGGCCACAAAAGTGGAAAAGGTAAGGAAGAGTGACCTCAGACTCCATCGCATAAGATTGACAAGTCAGAGCACATCTGTGTGTGTCTAAGAAGTAGGTGTTAGCCACTGACCTGTGGTAGGTTTCAAACCTTACAGCAATGACATAGTATTCCCAATTAAAGAGAGAAAAGTGCAATAATGTTTCATGAGTACCAAGGCACTGTGGTAACTGCTTTACCTCTACTACCTCTCTGAGTCCATATAGCAATCCTGAGACACAATCATGACTGAATATACTTCTCAGATTGGGAAAAGGAAACAGAATGAACAAGTAATTTGCTTCAGTTCACTGTAGTAGTTTAAGTAGTAGAGCAAGTATTCAAACCACAGTCCCCAAAGTTCATGAAGTTTTCATTACAATCCAGTAGAAATAATACATTTTTTTTTTGCTTTTCCTCATGTTGCTATGGAAGAGAGCACATACTAGAAGGATGCAGAAAGCAGACAGCTTTTCACAAATCCGGATGCAGATAACATGGAATGAGAGACCTATGAACTGGTATCACATAATTACCCATGCTATAGGTGAATGTGCATCTATGCCAATGGCTGATTTGGATAGTCACATCAGGCTAAAAGACTTTCCTAAGGATACCCAGGATGGATGAGGCCAAAATCCTTCTCCATTACTAAACAGCATCACTCAATGCCTTATATTTGGCAGAGCACCAAGACCTGGTTGTCAGACATCACCTTCTTACTGTCTGTGAAACCATCACTTCTCTTATTACACTGGATTTCCTTTCTTGCTTCAGCATTATGGTTGGTACATTGATTGTCACTTTCACCACTCATATTCCATCCGGTCTTCCAGGAGTGCCCACAATAACAGCCCCTCAACCACAGATCCATCCCAACTGCCTGATGGGGAGCAGCTTGCCTATTAGGTTTTGGTTCCTAGGTGATTCAATGTTGATTTACAATGTCCAACTTCTGTTGTTTCTGCACTACCTTCAGTTCCTTAATATTGAGTCCCTGGCAAACACAGTAGTAGCTACTATGGGCCATGGATGTAACTATGTGTCTGTAAATCTCTCAGGTCTACTACAGTATAGGGTAAGTACTTACCCTAAACTTAGGGTAATGTGCTACTGAATGAATGCATGAATGAATAAAAAATAAATACTATCCTACCCCCAGCTTTAGTAGTTGACTTAATTTTCATTTCCCTGAAGGAAAAATATGCATAAGAATGCCTGGATTACCCCCACCACCTATATTAACACACACTGTCTCTATCCATCCTCCTCACTTTTACTGTGGTTTCAGAGAAAAAAAGAATCCTACAACTTATCATGTGCCTATGTTATATTTTCTTTTATTTTTCACAGTGATAAGATATTTTCTTACGCATGTATTGGGATTTTATAGCTGAGGACACCTGGTGGTGCTGTGAGGACTTCCAGAAATGAAGTATGGAAAGCACCTAGCTCCAGTAGGCTTCTCCTGCCATGAGTGGGATTTATCTGTTATTGGTGGTGCCAGAAGTCATGATGTTGGTCACAGACGCAGCACCAGAGGCTGAATCTCAGACCACGTTGTGACTTTCAAGAACACTTCCTTGGCAATAAAAAGGATACCGTGCTCTGTTGACCCCTACACACACACATCCATACATAAGCACTCTTGCCACACTCACATACACATATAGACCCACACACATGCCCGCACACACCCACATGAGTAAGGAGCATTGTTTCCTCATGCAGCGCCACAATGCAGCAATGTGGGTTGCCCTGCCCTGGCAGATACCTAACATTCCACCCCTTACTAAGTAACAGGCACATGGAGACAAAGAAAAAATATATGGCCCAAATGAAAGAAGAGATCAGAGCTCCAGAAAAAATACAACTAGGCAATGAAGAGATAGCTAACTGATCAGACTCAGAGTTCAAAACACTGGTAATCAGGATGCTCAGAGAAATGGTTGAGTATGGTCAAGAAATAGAGAAAACAGTGAAGGCTATGAAAAGTGAAATAAAGGAAAATGCACAGGGAACCTAAGTGACGGGAAGGAAACCGGGACTCACATTGATGGTTTGGAATAGAAGGAAAAAAGAAGCATTCACCCAGAACACAATGAAGAAACAAGAATTCAAAAAAATGAGGAGAGGCTTAGGAACCTCTGGGACAACTGGAAACGTTCCAACATCTGAATCATAGTGGTGCCAGAAGGAGGAGAGCAAGAGCAAGAAATGGAAAACTTATTTGAAAATATAATGAAGGAGAACTTCCCCAGTCTGGTG